CAGGAACATATTTTTAGAGCTAGTTTTCCTCTAATTAGCTTGGAAACTAGGTGTTTTATTACTATAATTTTATTATATATTTTTTACATCAAATAATACTCTACAGAAAAAAAAATCAATGCTTTATTTTTATGAATCGTTTTTTGTTTTTCCATATTTTAAGAGTAAAGAACAGAAATAAACTCTTGTGTGTTTAAAATGGCAACAGTTTCTTATAGCAAATATTTTACAAAAATAATGAGTGGTGTTTTTTATTTAAAAAAATCATGTGGTATTTTGCGGCTCTAAATGGGTTAGACTTAGCTGGACTCAGGGCAAAATGGCTCTTTGTATAAAAATAAGTTTGCAGACCCCTCATCTAAATGTATGTTATTATCACCTATGATCTGAAAGCTGTACTGTACTTTTTTTAGCATATTTACTTGAGTAATTTTTGAGGGGGTAGTTTTAACTTTCACTTCACAACATTTTAAAGTCAAATATTGTACCTTCTACTCCACTACATTGCGAAGAAGCTGCTAGTTATTTGTTCCTTTTGGCTCAGCTTTGCTTTATTAACCTGCTGCAGCTGTTTTTCTTTCTTGGAATGCAATTTCAAAATGGCAGATTGCAGCCATTAGGACTGGATTTGGACACCACTGTTTTAGACCTCTGCATGCCATTCCACAAATGCGAGAAACTCATAGCAGATATTATTTGTAGTTTATCCATTTTATTAAGGCCTTAGTTGTTGCCTTGTGACCAAGTCGTTCAGTAGGATGGGTATTCAGAACAGAGTTGAGGTTTCTTTGTGGTAATAGTTTCAACCTTAAACCTATATTCCGTAGTGAAAGTGTGAGCAGAATCAAGACTCTCCTGTTTCCTTTTTCGTTTGATGAATAGGAAATAATAATCAATATAGCGGTCCTTATGTTTTTGTGGCGTTTTTATGCTGAAGTTCATTACAGGTGGTGTAGAAGTTCTAGCAGAGCAGTTCTACACATCAGTACATCAGCTGGTTTCTAAAGGTTACAAGGTTCTTCAAAATTACTCTGAAGATTATACAGAAATATACTGAAAATTTAATTTTGATTAAATTTCATTTGTATTTTGGATACATAAGTACTCTTAAATGTATGTACTTTTGAATACCTAAGAATTTTCAAAAGTGAGTATGTAAATATTTTAACTTATTTCAGTAAATTTTACTTGCAGTTGAGTAAGATTTGAGTATTAGTATCAATACTTTTACTCGAGTACTGTTGAGTGCCACTGTCTGAAAGTCTCAATCTTTATGTTTGCCTTAGAAATAGCTATTTATAATTACATAGTAGTGGGTTTGCATTTGTGGAGGCAGACATTTTTGCACTACGACAGCACAGAGCTGATATAGTGACTGTAGAGATCGCCATTATGCTCGAATGGGACTGCGACAAGTTAGGCCTACATGCAATCCTACACAGACTAACAGAAAAAGCTGTCATTTTTTTCTGCCATACTTTTTCATGATATACCCACACAAAGTAGTGTATCATTGTCAAATGTAAATTATTATAGTTCTCAAAATATTTTGCTTAAAGAGAAAGAAATCTGTAGCAGATCAATCAGAATCAGAAATACTTTAATAATCCCAGAGGGAAATTACTTTTGCTACACGCTCCAGTTATCCAGTTACAGTTTTATATATATATATCTATATATATATAGATATATATCTATATATATCTATATATATCTATATATATATATATACATCCATATATATGGATGTATATATATATATATATACATCCAACTACACAATATAATAAAGATAAAAATAAGAATAAAAGAGATAAAATATATACAATGAGTCATCTTAAACACTTCACCTTGATACATGTGGTGGCAGAATCATGCTGTGGGATATGTTATTAATAATTTCCCCTCACTCTAATATCCTTAAATAACATTTATTTAACTCAACTGACTTCAAATTAACCCTAGTAACACGTCAGTGGAATGTGTATGGAACATAATCTGAGTTAAAATTAGACAAAACAATGTTTTGCTAAAAAACAACAACCACACTGAACATCACCCTGGTCCCACAGTCCCCTTTGGGTTACACAGTGGAGGCATTAACATGCTGTGGGGAATGTTAGGCAGCTACAAGGAAGCTGGTCAGTTCTAACAGGAAAATAGCAAAAATGCCACAGGCTCCAAAAGAGATGAGACTGAACAAAAATAAAGATCTGGTGAAAATTGAAATCTCCTGCCCACAGACTTTCCTTCCAATTTTACTGAGCTTAAACTGTTTTGCAGTTAAAAATGAGAAACTATTCCTGTGTTAGTTTGTAGAGAAAAATCCCTAAAAACTGGCAGTGGTTATTATAAACAAAGTTTAGTAAAATAACAGAAACCTTTTCCCTTTCATTCACTTTGTAGCTAATTTGTAGCTAATTACATTACATTATATTACATTACAGTCTTCAATTCCTTTTTGTTGGTTTGTCAAATTAAATACACAGATTGCTTTCCTAATTACCATTGCCATGCCATTTTATGAAGTCTCCATATAGCAGCAGTGTTGCTTTATACAAATTCAGTTAGGAACTTGTTACTTTTGTTTTAAAAAAAGGCTCTTGCATTTTATTTAAATACTTTATTAACATCAAAGACCCTGAAGACAGCCCCCATTTCCATTTATTCAATTCAACTTGAAGCTTTTTTTTGCATATCTCCTCTTATAAGATGTTATTAGGTTTTCACTGAATCCAAGACGTAAGTCACTAAATTCCCCAGAATGAACAACTTCCTTCCACTACTATCTAGGTGATGTGAACTCTTCTATTTTGATCAGCTTCCTTAACTTAGGCTTTAAGCCGAATTGTTAGAGCCATTAGCTTTAGGTTATAGAAAGACAGAACTCTGCAGGTAAGTCCAATTTTTAAGCCAGACTTTGACTAATCTACACTTTTAACTTGCCTTTATTAAGTCCCGGATGTCTTTGGTTGCAGAATACTTACTGCTCCACACAATTCTAATCTGGGACACATTTATTGGACTTATTTAATTCATCTAACTCAAATCATACTTGGGATTAAACAGGTAGTGTTCAATCAGTGGATGTCTAAATCGCTGAAGCTCTTATTTTCTCAGTCTCCAGCCGTATGTCTTTGTGCAGTGGTACTATAGTAACCACTGGTCTAACCCTTTGTTCCTGCTCAGTCATGCTGCTTTGGGTTGCTCTTTCAATTTATTTCCACTTTATCAAGCTAACTCGACTGGGTGTCTCAGCAAACGCAGCCAGCCTGGGTGCAAACCGGGCTCTGGAGTTAGAATGCCTAAAACAACACAACCTAATCTCTACTCTGGCTCTCTGTACCCATCCTGTCTGCCCACCGTCATTACTCAGGACAAGGCCAACACATCAAAGCTGGCTGGTTTTATAGGTCAGCATGGTCACACATGGGGAACGTTATAGATGGCCTACAGTCTCCAGGGGTAACAGCTCGTTTTTTCTTTTCTTTTCTCTGAGAAATTTTTTCAACTATGCATCAGATTACAAAAAAAAAGAAAAGAAAAGTTAAACACCAAAATTGGACTCTTTAAATATTGTATTTTCAGTTTAGGCCCCAGTTGTGTTTAATTAAAAGTCAGAAATGCTGATCTGGATCTCCTGCAAGTCAAGATCTACTTCACAAGATAACTATTCCTGGACAGGATTAATCCACCTGAAGCCAGAATTTCCTCTTCTGGTAATCCCTTTTACTTCCTGCTAGTCAGAAGGGGAAAGACGAGAAGCGTGTAAAATATAACCATCCAAGTGTGAAATGCAGTGCCTAGATTTACACCAATATATTCATGTGTAGTAAGTGAACAGAAAAAAGGAAATATATTAATTTTGTTGGTAAAATAGGGCCTTGTTTTTCCATCTTGTAATTTTAATCCCCACTTTGTAACATAAAAGCCTAACCTTTAGACATTTCCATATAGTTTCAAAACAATTTGACCTTTTATGGCAATTTTCAGTTCTGGGCAGTTTCCCACGTAGTTGTAACAATTGAGATAAAAATGCTGAGGGGCCAGAAACTTCAAAGTAATAACTCAGGTTAAAGCAGGAAACGGGGGCGGCGGCGGGGGGGCATTTATTTATTTGTTATATTTATTTTGGTCACTTTAGTTTATTGTTTGTCAGTATTTAATAACATAATCCAGGTCTCTTAAGTTATTTTTCTTTAAAACAATTCTGTTATGGTTAAAAAAGTTGGTTAAATAAAGATTTAATTCGAAGTCTGTGTTTGTGTTTTTTATTAAAATTAAATCATTTAGCAATATTATAAAAAGTCCAGGCAGAGCTGCACATAAAATATGGTTTCAAATCTTTTCAATAATTATCGATATCGATCAATATGCATTTTTTTTTATCGATAAGCTTTTTTTCTATATCGCCCAGCCCTAATGTAACGGTAACTCTAGAACAATTAGAATATTTTAATTAACAGTCCTACACGTATTACTGTCATAGTGAGCCTGAATGCTTGGCATCTAACAGCCAACATGCAGCCCAGGCAATCTTTTGCTATATGCCATGCATAGTGCAATACAACAGGTTTGCAATATTTTGTGCAACTCTATTGGTTGAGTCAAGAAAAGGTTCTATTATGACTTAGCAAATGTGTAAATTTGTGGAATATTGTAGAAAAAGAGTGCTAAATTATAGGGGGAATGCCTAATACTGAACAAATATTCCCATTTCAAGACTTCCGTGTTTAGATTATGCTACTGCAAAGGATGCCAGAGTTGTGTTCCTTCAAAAGTCTTATATTTTTCTTGTTTTAATGGGTGTTTATTCGCTTAAAAACTTGAAATAAAAACCTTGTGATCCAAACCCTCCATTTGAACTCAATTATGGCCTCTGCAGGTCAGCAGCAGTAGGACTCTCTCCTCCAATCTCTCTCCTGATGCACTGATCACAAACAGCGATGCTAGATAAAAATCTTCATTCATCCAAATAAGAAACAAAGAAACAGGACACAGCAGGCAGCAGGAAATTTATTGGTGAAAAAAAAAAAGACAAGATTGCTCCTCACCAACCCAAAGTGGATCCGCAATGACAGCATGTAGTAATAATACACTTCACAATAATGAAGAAATTTAACCAGCAGAGAGTAAGACCAAATGAGACCTCATATACGCGTGGAAACCTTCAACCAAATGCTGAATCTGCATCTTAGCAAAGAAGTATTGGTCCTGTAATGAACCGCTTGTCACAGTGATTAGATAACTGGTGTTTACCTTAATTACGTTTATTACTAGCTGACCTGACCACATACAGCTGAGATGCAGTCATGCTCATTCAGGAACTATCAATCAAGGTTAACACAGTCGAACATGTTTAGTAGCGTTGCAGAAAAAAATTATCCGAGGGGACAATATACTGCCCGGAATGACATGATGCTGTCTTTATCAGGATGCTACATGTTTGCAAAACTTTGGGGACGCTATTATGAAAAAGTAGGCTAGAAACACCAATGAAAGCAGTTGATGACAGTTTTGTATCAAATCAATGAAAAACTATTCAGGAAGCAAATTGATCATTAAGAAAAACAAAAACAAAACAAAAACCAATCAAATGAAATTATTAAAGTATATATATATAGATATATACCATTTTGTTTTCTTAACCGGCTCAAAAATAATGTACATACAGTATGTGGAATGGCCGAATAAAGACACATGAACTTGTTCATACATTTGATTTTAGGTTTTACGTCCAGGAGCTGTGTTCCTCTCACATATCCGGAGACTTCTCGCATTCCCATCGGCTTTGTAATAACGTGAAGTAGAAATTAATATACATAGAGCAGGCGCAGGTGTCTCTGTTGACTTTCCGACAAGAGAAAGAGGGAGAGAAACAGCATGTAGAAAATCCAGGAATTAAAAACGGTAAAGCATCAACTAAAGGGATAGTGCACAGAATAGATTACAACAGGCAGTTGTCTTTTCCAGCTCACTGCTAATTGGTTCCCTCTTGCATTGTTTCTCATTTAAGCTGTGTTTCTGGTTAGCAGTGGAAGGTGTTTAGCATTCTCTGCACTAGCTGTACCACACATGATCCACACAGAAATCCTTAAATAACACCGGAAATGTGGGTTGAATTTACTGCAACTTTGACGAAAACATTACGGCAAACTTTAGGCTTTGAATTCTTCCTGGGTGAAATATAACTTCCACTGAGATTGTTATGGATTTTTAATATGAGATTTACAATGCAAGACTGGATGACCAGTATATTACCCTTATGATAATCCCACACAAACTAACACATTTGATGATATGAACATATGCTGTGCAACAGACATCACCATTAGTGCAACATGCAATGCTTGTGTGTCATTTCCTTGACAGGAAAGACTGATGTAACCAAAAAGCAGGAAGTAAATGGGATTTTTTTAATTTTTATGTCAAACGCATGGAGATTGCATGAAGCTCATTTATTTAACTAAATTTGTCGAAGGCACTATGGTGTTTATACCTCTTCAACATATTCATAAACTTCAATATAGTCGATTGGGGTTTTAGTAGATAGATTAACAAAGCAGAGTCCAAATAACAATCTGAAAGGTCTTGGGTTGATTTATATTCAGCTCCGTTTACTTAAATGAAAATACAGAAATGAATCATTTTGGGCTACATGCAAAAAGCTATACTCTGGTGAAAACCACCGATCTGTATTTATTAATGGATTACTTATAGACCAGGGGTGGGCAATTCAAGTTCCTGAGTGCCGGTAACCGGTAACTTTTACATCCATCCTTGGTCCAACACACCTGAATCTAATAGCTCCAGAGTAATTATCTAATTATTTGATCCAGGTTTGTTAAACCAAAGGCACATCTAAAAATTGCAGGATACCGGCCCTCAGGAACTGGAGCTGCCCACTCCTGTTATAGACCGAAAAAAACTGAAGACACCTGCCGCCATGTTGGTACTCCCGACTTTCAACGAGTCTTGCCATAATAATGCCGGTAATGTAATTACCATAACAATTTAAGCAATACATGTATACTACATGCACATAATCAATTCATAATCAATAATAATAATCAATCATAATCAAGTATTATTCTTATTACTTACAGTATTATTATGCTCCATTAGGGTTGCCAACTCCCTAGGAAAAAAAAAAAAAAAGGGGGAACCACATGTGCGTGCTAGCTGACCAGATTGCCTTTACCCCTCCTGGCGCGGAGATTTTTTTTAGCCCCCCTTTGTGTGTGAAATTATTATTTTTTTTTTAAATATATTTGACTCATATCTGCATTGAGTTAATGCATATTTTTAGTGTGCTTTATATTCATTATCGCAGACTTTTTCCACCCAGATATTTGTTTTTCCCATTCCTCCCTATATTTCTGCATCTTTTTTTTTTATTCCCTGAGTAGCATCGCTATGGGAAGGTGCACCGGCCTCAAAAGCAGCGTCAGTGTCCCCCATACTGCTCTGTTGTCCCCCGCTATCTTCTCTGTGAACACTTGTCTCGACCAATGGGATGAGGGGATTCTGGATCGTTACATTTATGTTGTCAGCTCATTGGGCACAACGCAGGACAGCGCCCGGGAGCACATTTACCATAAGTTTTGTATCTAAGGTGCCCTTTTTCTTAATTTTTTATTAGCTTTTGACTATTTTTTTTACTCTCACAGTAATACGGGACAAAGTGCGTTCCTTTTCCACTAAATACGGAACAGGTACTTCTATTTCTAAATACGGAACGATTCAGATTTTTGTTTACGGTTGGCAACCCTATGCTCCATTAACACATTAATTTTGTTGTGATTGATTTGTATAATATGTCATATTACATGATTTATAGATTTCATAGACTTCCTACTAAATATATGCAGTTTGATATGTCTTTTTTTTTTTTTTTTTTTTTTTTACCTTAAATGAGAGTAGTCTACAAATGCACTGCAGTGTGTGTCAAAGTGATGACTTTATCTTTGTTTTTAAAGTCTAAAGCCCACCTGAAAATGAAAACATCTTTGTAGTTTGATGCTGTAGCGCACATATTGTTTACATTCTGACCAGTTAAACTAGGGAGTACCAGTATGGCGACTTCACAGCACCGTGTACTACCAACGGGCTACAGCAATCCAGTGAATCAATAGATTAGAGGGGAGAACCAACACTGCTCTATTTTACACCATCCAATCAGAACAGTTTAGGTCGCTCTAACGGGGACAATGTAGTACGTTTTCAAGAGGTGTTCATGGATTCCGTCAATGCAATTCAACTGAGCTGGCAAAGAAGAATGGGCAAAAATGTCAGTTTATCAACATTTTTGCCCTTTTATTACTAAAAGGTGGATCTACAAAGTTTGAACTCATAGGGGCTAGATATAAACAAACTTCACTTTTTTTTTTTAGATGAGTAACCTTTACCTCCCACTTCACAATTGTGTGCTACTTGATGTCGGTTTATCACATAAAGTCCCACTGTAATACATCGTCTGTGGTTACAACAATCCAAACTGAAAAACAATCAAGAGACATAAATAGAGTGGAGATGGAAGCAGATTATATATCTATAAACTAATCTATATTTAGTCAAGTGGTTGTCCAGTCTTTCAGATACAGATTGGTTTTACAGAAAACATCTATGTCTGAAAGTCTTCCAAGTCTGAATAAACACATCTGAGAACCCAATGGTGATTAAATGATGCAGAGCAAGTCTTTCAACTGGATGAATAATTACAAAGAAAGCGTGCAAGAGTGCCATGCAGGCAGTGATTAGAGCAATTGATTGTGAATATGCGTTATTAGTTTTAGCTCCTACAAAATAAGCCATTTACAACCCATATTTCCTTATAAACAATAGTTCACATGACTTTAAACAGTAGGGGTGGTTTAAAACCGCTTGACTCAGTAACTTTTACCAACCAAAACAACACATAATTTGTAAAATTTACTGCATTTAAATGTAGAATTTCACCTAAATGTATTTTATCTAACCTCTTTAAAAATGAAAATCAAACCAAAAAAAACCAAACAGTGAATTGGAGAAGTTTCTTATAATGCAACCAACAGTGAATCCATGAGTTTATTTTCAAGATAAGTTGAGTCATTAAAGTGACGTCTTGGAGAGGATTTTCTGATATATTATCATTTGTACTATTTAAGTATCTGTGAACTATCGCCTTTGGTCTATAGAGTCCCCATGCAAGTGCCTTAAACTTTAAGAAAGGTATTATTGATGGAAATAAAAGAAAGCAAACTTACTTCATTCATACCTAAAAGAAAAAACACAAACGATAAAAACAAGAGAACAAAACAGGATCAGAAATGTCATTTCCATGCATGCATCTCTAAAGTAAACATTAGTTCCAGTACACACATTGACACATTATTCTACTTTATTCATATTATATTAGCATCTTCAATATGTGACACTTGTTCAAGAAAGTCTGACTGTACTGCAACAGTAATGTCATTTAAAAGCACAACGTAATGAGAACTGTCGGTAGCGCTGTTCTTATTGTACAGTTACAATAAAAATGCACAAGGCTGGGAAGAGTCACAGAGTTTTCTGAAATATAGTTGACATGTCCTTAAGAGTAGCAGAGGAACATACTCTAACGTAAGAGTGAGAGGAGCAAGAAAACAGAGTGGACAGAAAGAAAAGATGTGTGGGAAGATAAAGGCAAGAGGCAGTTCAACAACCCCCCACAGTTTTAACACACCCCATTCCCCACAGTAAACCTAGTGTCGTACTTTTCCAGGAATGTAGTTACGGTCAATGGTTTCCTCTTGCAGAAACATGTGAAGACAGCGCTCGTTCTGGGCCAAGGGGTGACCTGCAATTCTGCACACAAAGGGAAAAAAAAAAAAGGTTACACTTTATATTTTAGGTTTACACAAAAATTTGTTAAATTTAGATTAGCTAAATACATGCTGTATGATATGTTTAACAAGAACTCAGCTAACTTGGGTAAATATGCTTAGAAGCAACATCTTTACTGCATTACAGAACAGATGTAACACAAAAGCTCATAATAAAGTAACACAGAGCAATGTCTTGAATATTGTTGCTCTCCTAGCGTCAAACTAGCTACAAGGTCTGCGTATTTTGAAGCAGCACACTGTAGCTGACTAATGTTTGTGTCATTTGGAAGATGCTGATCTGGCCGACCTGTTGATGAACTGCTCTAGGCCCACCCGCCGCTCCTCAATGAAGGACTCTTCAAAAAGGCCCTCATCTCCACGGAATGGCAACTGTCTCTTCAGGGCTTTGCCCGGCAAAGGTGGTACTACAATCTAAATGTGACAGGGGAAAAAAAAAGAAAATTAAATATTCCCCTGCAAATTTGAGCTTATGATGTACATGAAGGATTATGGAGAAATATCCAGCAGCTATGTTACAACTAGGGGTGGGTATTGCCAAAGAAGTCACGATTCGATTTGAATCACGATTCACAGGCCACGATGCGATTCTATCACGATGCATCACGATACTTGAATTATTGCGATGCATTGCCATATTTTCTCCTCCATGTTTTGTTTTTGAATGACTCGGCACAGTATCCCACGGCCGAAAATGCTTGTGACACAAGGCAGCGTGCGTCAACACATTTGCAGCAACATCTACTGGACTGGAAGTGGTATTGCACTTGTTTTTGGCTGATGTTCGCCAACCATTCATGCAATTTTATTTATTCATTTTTTTAAATTAATAATCGATTCTTAGCATCAAGAATCGATTCAGTAGATCACGAAAATTAGAATCACGATGCATCATCATCACGATTATTTTGCACACCCCTAGTTACAACATAAACATTGCTATAAGTGATAAAATTAACTTTGTTAATGCTACTCCGCAGGCTTTTAGCTAGTAATGCATACAGGTGTACACATTACGTTGTACACCTTTTACTACCAAAAATGACAAATTGAAAGCCCTGTTTATGGGATGTATGGCTTTGGTACACGTCAATTTTCAATGTGGAAACTTTCCACATATGTTCAAAATTTCACAAGCAGCAGATGCATGTTGGAAATACTGAATTTTTGCTGCCTAAAGCACAACATCAATAGAGAAGCTGATCTGGGAGCTGGCAGGGAGACAGATGCAGAGCTGCAGATGCAGAAAACTATGATAACTCCTCTAAAACGGTTTATCAACGCCTAAATTAACTTAAAATGTAGAAACCTGCTGGCAAAATATATTCGCTTTTATAACTGTGGTGCTTGCAGTTTCTACGACATACCTGAAAAACGCTAACATCTACTTCTAGTCGCCATGCACAGTAGAGGAAAATCCCCTAAGAGGCGACCAGGCCTGACGCAGCTGCTGCTGGATTCCCAGTGACAGCACACTGCCGCTATGTGAGGGTCTGAGCAGCACCGACAGCGAAATAATATAGAACTGCACAGATGATGTTTTCAGGTGGACTTTTTCGTATAAAAATATATTAAAGCTACTTTTTACCCTTTTACCACAGCAAATATAGAAAAGACACTCTCTGCCATTGAACACAGGAGCAGAAGAAGCATCAGATGCATCTGAACACACTTTACTGGACGCATCTTTGATACTCCTGAGGAGCGTCTGATCTTAAAGCATCAAAAATTAAGCAGCAGGCGCTTTTTTGTTGTGCAAATGCTGATTAAACGTAGCATTACACTTTTTGATTGTTTGAATTAGCCTAAAAAACATAATATTGTATCTAAAAATTATCTCATGTGTTCCAAATTTCCACGTCTAGTCAAACACACACACTTGGGAAGGCATAATCAGGACAAAAGTAGTGTTGAAACAAAGAAAAAACATTAGCTGCATTCCACCTCAAAATGCAGGAAATAGCGTTCTATTTCAAATTTTCCAAGGGAGGATACCCCCGGACCCCCCCTATGCCGCACAAAGCCTAAAGATTTGATACCCCAAGGTATACACCCAAGAAATATTCCTAGCTAAAAGCCTGCTACATTGTGCATTGTTAGTTGAGTAGACACAATACTAACTCTATTGTTTTCTTAGGTATTCTAACCACCATGACTTCACATTTTGGATGGAAAAAATGTCACGTCTTAATTCATGACTTGTTTCCAATGTCAGGCAGCCCTACATTTCTCCATCTAAAGCTAAACACTTACTTAAACAGATGTTCTGACAGAGCATTAGAATAAAAAAAACTCTCCTAAAAATAATCATTATTCAGGGTTGGCCTATCGATCAAAAAGTTCCATTTTGCTCACATCTGAAAACAAACTGTTTCCAACTGTTCGTTGTGGAAAATTCCCAACAGCTTTACTAATGGTTTTGTTTTAATAACAGCCTTTAACCTTTTTTCAGGACTGTTCTATAGAGGGCAGATCTGGCAGTCAGTTTAGGTTAACGGTAAGGACATCATCAACTTTACTTAAAGAGCCGTTTAAAACAGCTGAAAACAAAGTGCTAAAAAACAATAAAATACAGCATGAAGATATATAATAAGGAAATAATAAGAATTTGTTGAAGCTAAATAAACAAGGTCACAACTATTTAGTCGTGCCAGTGTTAAAAGCCAGCAAATAAAAAACCAGAGCCATGTTTTAAAAATCTAAAACTAACTGATGAAAGCATGATCTGACAACTGCTCCAATTTGCCTCTACAATTTAAAAACACTGTCCGCCTTAAAACCCAAATTCGTGACAAACATTAAAGCCCCATTTTTTTTCTCGTTACACTTTTTAAAAGTTAAGGGCTAGCCAGGTTTAACGTCGTCTAAACCAGGCATCCCCAAACTCGGTCCTCAAGGCCCCCTGTCCTGCAGGTTTTAGAGGCTTCTCTGCTTCAGCACAGCTGGTTATAATGATTGCAGTAGACCAAAAGCCTGTTAATCAGCTTTCAATTAAAATCAGCTTTGCTGGAGCAAGGAAACCTCTAAAACCTGCAGGACAGGGGGCCTTGAGGACCGAGTTTGGGGATGCCTGGTCTAAACAATTCAGTCATCAGCATGAAAATGGCACAGACTGACAGATAATGCAAAGAGAAAAAGCAAGTGCTCTAAAATTGAGCCTTGTGGGACCCCGTAAGATTTAGAACCACTAGACAATTCAGTGTTGCCAATATCTGGGCAGAAAAATTTGCCTTTCAGATATAACCAATTAAGAGCTGTGTGCTGGATCCCTACTTATCGATTCAGACGTGTTATCAGAATAAGAAGGTCATCGTGGATATTTTGGTTGGATGTCAGTGATATTGTTTTATCCCTGACTTGTCTGCTGTTCTTTGCTCTTCATGATGCTATGAGTTTGTACTGGGATTCAATTAAACACAGACGGATTTTATTTGGGGGCGTTAAATAGAAAGTGCCACGCTACGTCTTTCAGATCGGATCATACAAAAATCTTCATTTTCCTTCCATTCACATTTATAAACTTCTTTTGGATGGTATACCATATAACCCAATAACCGATATCGTAGATTCGAACTGAAATGTAACATCTAAAAAAAGGCAAGCTTAATGAAGACTGACCTCCTACGGATATTATTCACTGCACTTATGTAACACAATTTCCTCACTATGAGTAGATAAACAAAAATACTTTCAATCAGTAGTAATCAGATTAGGAAAAATGTTTCCAATGCCAGTATGAACATATTTCCTTTTGGAAGCCAAAAAAATCAAGCTGAGAGAATGATCAATACTTCAAAACTAGGAATCAGTGAAATGTTCCCTGTCCAAGGAAATTGTATAAGACTGTTTACTTACCTTACTGTCTCTTTCCAGCTCATTCTTTAACCACTCAAAGTCACTGTATCTTCTCCTCACACATGAGTCCTTCAATTTGAAAATAGGAAGGTTTGTCTGTGTAGAGAGCAGAAAAAACAAAGATATAACCAGGATCCGTTTAAGATATTCAAAGCCGGTGTCAACATAATGTTATCAACTAACGAAAAAAGCAGATGCGGCTTTTGTTGAGGTTTTTTTGAGAAAAGAAAACGTTGAAGATTGATTGAAGTTTATAAAGAGACACAAAACAGTTAAAATGAGCATTGGCAGACCAAAGGTTTACATTAGTGCTGCAACTTAAGATTACTCTGCAAATCGATTAATCTGTCAAGTATTTGTTAAAATAATAGCCATAGGTTCCTTAAAGAAGACTTTTTGCAGATTTTAACCAGATAATACCAAAACTTTTCGACTTGAGGAGTTCCGAAATAGAGCATACTGAAAGATGAAAAAGTTTTTTTAATCTTAAATGCAAAATGTTTACATATATATATATATATATATACACATATTTTTTTTTTTTTTACAATTTTGGTATAATTACTGCTCTAAGTGGGTCGCTCTTTCAACTAAAGGAATGTTTTAGAGTCTATATACTCCAGTTAATAAGTAATCGATTACTAAATTGGTTGATGATTATTTTAATAATTCGATTAATCATGAGGAATTCTATTAATTGTTTCAGCCCTAGTTTACATTAATCTAAAATCAGTTAAAAAACCTTTTATTTGGGACATTTCTTTAAAAACAAAAAAACAATATTTATTTTGAGAAATAGAAATTTTTTATGATGACTTATTATGATGCAATGTGAAACTGTTTATTAAAGAAATGTGTATGATTACTGACTTAGACAACCTTTGTCATTTTGTGCACACAGAGGGTATACAAATTCGTTCAGTACCACTCTCATTTCGATTTCTTAAAGTGCAGCAGTGATAAAATGTAAACATACTGAGACAGGGGTAATAAGCGCTATTTAATTAACTGAAGACTGTCCTTTTGTTTTCCTAATTTTATTATATTTGAAATTACATTTACCACTGCTTGTAATGACTTGGATATTTTAAACATAACTAGAGAATAATTTTACATTAGTTACTTTGTATCCTATTCTTACATATCCAGGCTAATATAATACACTATATTGCCAAAAGTATTTGCTTACCCATCCAAATTATTGGAATCAGGTGTTCCAATCACTTCCATGGCCACAGGTGTATAAATTCAAGCACCTAGGCATGCAGACTGTTTTTACAAACATTTGTGAAAGAATGGGTCGCTCTCAGGAGCTCAGTGAATTCCAGCGTGGAACTGTGATAGGATGCCACCTGTGCAACAAATCCAGTCGTGAAATTTCCTCGCTCCTAAATATTCCACAGTCAACTGTCAGCTGTATTATAAGAAAATGGAAGTGTTTGGGAACGACAGCAACTCAGCCACGAAGAGGTAGGCCACGTAAACTGACGGAGCGGGGTCAGCGGATGCTGACGCGCATAGTGCGAAGAGGTCGCCAACTTTCTGCAGAGTCAATCACTACAGACCTCCAAACTTCATGTGGCCTTCAGATTAGCTCAAGAACAGTGCGCAGAGAGCTTCATGGAATGGGTTTCCATGGTCGAGCAGCTGCATCCAAGCCATACATCACCAAGTGCAATGCAAAGCGTCGGATGCGGTGGTGTAAAGCACGCCGCCACTGGACTCTAGAGCAGTGGAGACGCGTTCTCTGGAGTGACGAATCGCGCTTCTCCATCTGGCAATCTGATGGACGGGTCTGGGTTTGGCGGTTGCCAGGAGAACGGTACTTGTCTGACTGCATTGTGCCAAGTGTAAAGTTTGGTGGAGGGGGGATTATGGTGTGAGGTTGTTTTTCAGGAGCTGGGCTTGGCCCCTTAGTTCCAGTGAAAGGAACTCTGAATGCTTCAGCATACCAAGACATTTTGGACAATTCCATGCTCCCAACTTTGTGGGAACAGTTTGGAGCTGGCCCCTTCCTCTTCCAACATGACTGTGCACCAGTGCACAAAGCAAGGTCCATAAAGACATGGATGACAGAGTCTGGTGTGGATGAACTTGACTGGCCTGCACAGAGTCCTGACCTCAACCCGATAGAACACCTTTGGGATGAATTAGAGCGGAGACTGAGAGCCAGGCCTTCTCGTCCAACATCAGTGTGCGACCTCACAAATGCGCTTCTGGAAGAATGGTCAAAAATTCCCATAAACACACTCCTAAACCTTGTGGACAGCCTTCCCAGAAGAGTTGAAGCTGTTCTAGCTGCAAAGGGTGGACCGACGTCATATTGAACCCTATGGATTAGGAACGGGATGTCACTTAAGCTCATATGTGAGTCAAGGCAGGTGAGCAAATACTTTTGGCAATATAGTGTATATTAGCTCATGTTTTTAGTTAACAATGAATGCCAGCTGGGTGTATTTATACTTTAATATCTGGAATACACCAATAAACACAATATCTTGTGTTTTATTGATAAAGCCATCATAATATACTGTCCTTAAGTTTCCATTTTAACTGAATAAAGTGACTGTTTTTAAAGTAACTTTAAACAAACACTTTGAAACAGCAGATAACATGATGTTAGTGACAGGTTTGTGATTATTTTTATCTTTTCTGATTTTGGTTGACAGCTTTTCAAAAAATAATTTCAAGCTACAGACATAATATTATCTTTAGAAATGTGTTTTTAATAATAATAAATATAAAACATTAATCAGGGGCCGGATGGAGAGTTTCATCACAAACTTTAGGATACTAAACGACAATTTAGTCAAACCAAGTGTAAAAGGGATGTAAACCGCAACTTCCTTAAAATTCAGCTGTGTTTGAAATTTTCTATTTCACTTTTACAACCATAACTGTAAAGGTTAAGCAAGGGAAACAGTATAAAGTGTTATTAAAATAGATAGCAGGCTTATACGTTTCGATATTGTTTCAATATAAAAACGGCTGTTTTTAGAAACAAATGTAATAAATACGACTTCTTTTATTAATATCAGGGGGTTTTAATACTTTTATTTAAGCGAAAACAGGAAATTAGTGACACATTCGGAGACACTACCACAGTCCATCCTCGTTAGTCGTTAGCTTTCCGGTGTTACTTTTAACAGCGGTTTTCAGACTCAATAGCTATATTTAACCGGATTAAGTTATAATGAACCTATTTCAATGCTTTTTAAAAATAGCTTCACGTCGTCTGAACTCAGATAGAGCAATGTCGACGTTTAGGAGACCTCTGAAAACTGACAGTATCTCAGACGTAAAAGCACCAGCTAGACCAGGCCGCGGATCATCCCCGGTGTCTGGTTTTAACGCTGGCCCGCCTCGAGGCAGTGCGGGCGGCCCGCCCTCGAAGCGACAGCTCAGTCGCTCTCCTGCAATGCTAACAAGCTAAACAACAACTCCGAATTTATCTGTTAGCTTAGCGCACGAAGCTAATCCAACTCCCCAAGTTTTTCCACACCAATGCCTCCACTCTTACCCTCATGCGAACTTCGTAAGTGGTGTAACGATTCCGGCCGACTCCGACGATCTGTGGATCGTAAACGTCTATTTCCAGAAAATTGCTCGGGGGGCCGTAAGCATCCGTCAGGTCCTGGGGTTTGGAATTCAACCGGCGAGTGTCTGCTACAACAGGATCTGTCATTTTCCCTCCTGTGTTTCTGGGATGCAAACAATGTTTCGCGTGCGGTAAAACCAACTAACCATACAGTTCGATCTTAAATCTCTTCTAATAAAACAACAAGTAGTGTGAGAAGAAGCTCTCCTCTTGCGGGGGCTAACCACCCTGCCCTTCTAGAATCTGGAAAATGCGTTGAACAGCTCTGTGCTAATCTGGAAGCTCTGCTCCCCCTAACGGACGGACAGGTGACTGGACGACAGCGGCGGTTCTAGACCAAGGCCCTGTTCGAATTCATGGGCTGAGTCCTTCAACGAGGCGGTCTACCTAAACTGAATCCTTCGAAGTCCGTGAAAATAAGGATACCGGAAGAGTTTTGGCTGTGAATTCAAACAGGTCTACCCTTCGACGGGTTTTACCACCGCAGGCTATGTTGCTTAGCAACCGTGACAATTGACACACAAAGCAAGAAAAGAATGAATACTGAAGTTTTAAAAACTGTTCGTTTTCTTTCTTTTTTATTGAGTGGAATAAAGGTTCCAACCACCGGGAGCATGAACAAATAAAATCAAATGTAATGATCTAAACCTTAGTCAGTTAAATAACATGCTGCTGTCATTTTGCACATCTCTGATGTTGCTTCTATTTTCAAATATCCATTACTGTAAAAATGTCCATAGCTGGATATTGGTTATTTATTCTCCAGGTGCACAGTTTTATATTGTTAAAACACTTTACAGTATTTAATTGTTTATATTTTAACTCTTCCCTATTATGTTATTCTTATACATTTTTCTAAGGTCCACATTTGTGTGACCATTTTCAATAATCTTTCTGCTGCTGTAAATTTGCCCATTGAGGGACAATAAAGAGATTTTTTATTCTATAAAAGGGGTATAAATATATAAGTAAATCTAAACAACGTATGTATAAAGAATATATCTGCAAAGTCTCTAATATAAAAAAAAATAAATAAAATCTTAGTTAAGCATATTGTGCAAAACAGCCTTAAAAAAATCAAAATCCTATTACCGCCACATATCTGACTCAATAACCATTAAAACAAATATTTTCATTAAAGCTACAGTGTGTACTTTTCAGCGACATCTAACATTCAGACTGCAGACCAGACCGCAGCAACATGAACATCTCCCCCCCACCGCTTCTCCCCCCCAACAGTAAGGCGAGCGTTACGGGACAAAATGTCTTCCACGACGTCCGCATCACCTACCTTCTCAAGTGATGAGGTTTGTTTACATAGATAATTTTAATACTGCCATCTATTGTTCAGTACCGTCTCAGTTCATCTCTCTCAACTTGCCGTAGTTACTTTCGAGCGTAATGGGTGATCTCGCAATTGCTAGTTTGTTGGCTCTGCGCTGCCGTAGCGCAAAGATGTCTGCCTCCATGGCTGCGAGACCCGCTCCTATGTAATTATAAATAACGAATTCTAAGGAAACACAAATATTAAGGTTAAGAGGCTGAGCTCGTAGATGATGATAAATAACATAGTTATGTATAATATATTACATTTCTGACTGTATATCCCTGTAATTATTACACACTGTAGCTTTAATTTCAGACTGAACTATTCACAGACTTGTATTATATTAAACTGAACTTCCAATTTTCACCACTGTTCGGCGCTAACATTTCCTCTGATCACAGAGCAGCTGGCTTGCTTGGTCTCGCAATGAATTCTGGGATATCCAAGGATATTAGCATATTGTGATAAAGTTTATTATTTTCCATAATGTAATGATAAAACTTGAACATTCCTATATTTTAGATTCATTGCACACTAACTGAAATATTTCAGGTCTTTTATTGTGTTGTGATATTATTTTTTTTTTCTATTCCCAGCCAGCTGGAAATTTATGTTTCTGATACTTTAGGATGTTTATTGCCCTCCCCAGTAGGGGGGGTAAAATATCTTATTTAATCCGATATTATTTCAGCTGTTATATACTGTTTATGACACACAGTCCTACTAACTGTCAGTGTTGCCAACTCAGCGACTTTGTCGCTATATTTAGCGACTTTTCAGACCCCTCCAGCGACTCTATTTCAAAAAAGCGACTGGCGACAAATCTAGCGACTTTTCTGGTGTCTGCCGTGGGGCGCCTCCCCCCGTCCCAACCCCGTTTACCCGCTTCCGCAGATGTCCCTCTCAGCGCTACAGTCAGAGACACAGCATGCTTTCCCTCAGCGTCCAGACAGCAAATGAACCGCGCGCATGCGCGGGGTTTGACGGCACAGGTTGATCACTCTGGAGTCAGCTCCCTCAGTTGCTGAACCTGCCATAGAGAGCCTTGACCAACATGAACATGATCCACTCTTTCTGTTAGCAGGCAAGCACAGCCTGTGTGTGTGCAGGGAATTTTTATTAGTAAAAAAAAAAAAAAAAAAAAAACAATAATTACCATTTGCTCACATTGTCATTGATTCTTTATAGTCTTTTTTTTTCCATTTAGATTGTTAATGTAATGTAAAAAAATGTTATGGTTCAAAATGTTCATGTTTTAGCATGATTTTTAAGGTCCTTAGTGGACCACAAGGGAAAAAAGAAAAAGTTAAATAAAAAAAATATATATATATTATGCAAATTAGGCAATGACGTAATTCAGCGACTTATAGCACAGCCAATAGCTACTTTCCTTTCTGAGGAGTTGGCAACACTGCTAACTGTGTGTTAGAACAATAGATGAAAGAGTGATTTGAGCACTAATCATGGTCAAACAGTAATTTCTGCACATAAATGGAATAAATTCACCTCAACTTCTGTTCAAAATATAAGAGTTTATTAACAAAAATCATTCAGCCCCAAGTCAAACATATTTCAGATTAACACTCTCAACTAAGACTAGTAAAACTCAACTAAACTAAACTAAATACTATGTAGAAAGAGGAAGGGGAAAACGGTTGAAAAACATATTACAGTTTAAGATGGATTTTGTGTTTGAAACCAAAGTTTATCTGGAAGAATTTGGGATATGATCAAATTAGCTTTTCACTCATTTTAAAGAAATTTGAATGTTTTCAGACCAATTCACAATGCAAATCCATGAGGTGAATAAAACATTATTTGGCCAAATAATGTTTTATTAAATTATTTGCTTAATCAAGAACCAAAAACCTTTAGTTAAATGATTCTTTACCATCTTTAAAATAGCTAGCAGCGAATAGACATCAGGATTCCACTAAATGACTCTTTGTCATACTTAGTAATGGAAATGTAATGAGCATTTGAGGAACAAATGAAAACTAATGTTATATCAGTGTTTAAATCCTTAGTGAATAAAGCTGGTCTAAGCTTTAGCAACAGCTCAACACATATTCCTGTAGCATGCAGTCCATTTTTTAGCATCAATTAGCGTTGTCTTTACTCAGCAGTAAACACACGATATGATTACTAGCATCATCAAAAGACACATTGCTTGTTCTCTCATCATGCCAGACCTGCAAACCTTTTTCCATGTCCATTTGGAAAGCTTGAGTTTCATCCAGTTTTGCAGCTCTGCAGTCAGGGGTTCTCTGTCTCAGTCTCACAGTAGGGGTCCCCTCAGTCTCACACCCAGGGTATGGTTCTCATCCAGTTTGGCTCTGTAAGTTCTGAAACTCAAGAGAAATGTGTTGCAAAAGGTCTGGTTGCAGCAGTTTGGTCCTGAAAGGTTTTGACTTATCCTTGATGGTTCTGGAGAACTGGTTTCCACTGCGGCGGACCCCATCTCCCTGGGCAAGGGAGAGGAGGCAAGGAGAGCAGGAGCCAAAGAGTGAGTAGGCAAAAAGAGAGGCTGAAGCAGAAGAGAGAGAATTCTGTGTGCTCTCTGGTTTTCTCTGTCTACACAGAGAGGGGGGTGGTTTTTCACACCTCTGGTGGCTTCCATGTGACTTGCTTGTGGAGGCCTAGCCTGAAACGGAGGTTGTTGCAGAGATTCCACATCTGATTCCACATCATCATGTCAAGATGAAATATGGACACTGGTTCCCAATGTCCAAAACGTATGATCATGGCATATGGCATAAAAATTGTCTTAATATGGATATCAGATATCTGATTGTTTCTTTTGTTCTCAACAGAACACCTTTTTCCTAAACTGCCAGTTTACTAGTTGCTTTTACAATTTCTAAAAGTAAAATAAGAGACAGGTCTTTTAGTTATGAGCCTTCTCTCCTGTAAAACAAACCTCTAGTTTTAGTCCATGAGGCAGTCACCCTGTGTACTTTTAAGACTAGGCTTAAAACTTTTCCTTTCTAACCTGTAATATTGCAGTTCCTAAGGGTGAGATGGTCTTTGTTTTTTAAATATTAAGTCTGAAGCCTTTCCACAAAGACTTGAGTCTAGTTCCAAGACATGCAAGTCCCTAGAAATTATTATGCTAACTGTTTAAGGATACGTTTAGGAGATGCTTTTCCACTTAACAGTTAGTGTAACCTTAATTTGCATCTTAAAAATGTACATGTGGGATTATTATTTATTATCAACTGTGCTGCTGCCATCAACGCCCTTGTTTATAGATGTTGGAGATCAGCAAGTTTTCCAGTGTAGTCCTGTTTCTCTGACTGTGACTGGCTGGGTGTGCTCTCTTCATCCTCTGGCTTGGAGGTCGTCTGCCTGGCTGTGTGTTTCCTGGACGGGGCCGCCTTTTACAGCTGCTTTTTGTATCTCCTTGAACCGGCAGATGGCCGCTCACACTGAGCCTGGTTCTGCTGGAGGTTTCTTCCTGTTCAAAGAGAGTTTTTCTCTCCACTGTCGCTACAAGCATGCTTAGTGTGAGGGATTACATAGATAGAAAACTCTGAATCAATTTGACTGTGTGATTTGGTGAACTGTAAAGTGCCTTGAGATGCCATGTGTTGTGAATTGACGCTATATAAAAATCAATAAATTTAATTGAATTGAATTCTATCAAAATGAAGGAAGGAAATCTAGATTATTTCTTCCATCAATTAACTCACACAAATTTGAAAATATAGTATCCATCAGTTTTCATTCATCCAAGCTTGCATTGTATCTTTATTGATAAAACAGAAATACTAAAGGCAACAAACACACAATTTGCATGTGTATATGTGCACCGTTTTATGAAAAATCCTTAAGCGGGTGGCATGTTCAGTGTTTTAATTTCTTTTCTAACTTTGTGCAACAACCTCCAGATAACACTGGGTGGCAGCATATCTCTACCAACATTAACTTATTTTAGGACACAGAAGATATGCAGATTACAAAGGGGAATTCAGTGTGCATGCTAGAGCAATGGAAAGAGGAAACGCCTTGATATAAAGCTTTCATGTGGATTAATGGTAATAAATTACATTTAGACTAAAATGATTTCTGTTTGTGCTATAGATATCGTAGTTTTACTTGGTGTTATAATAAAGGGGGAAAAACAGATTTTAGTGGTTAAAATCATGCAGTTATAAAGCAACTCTGGCCAGATGCTGATTGATAAAAAAGCCAAATAAACTTCTTATTTAAGGGAAGATCTTTTAACAACTTGAGATTTGCCACAGCAAAAGCAAAGTTTCCTCTGAACTTGTGATGAAAACAGAAAACACAATTCGAATAAGCCAAGGTTACCAAGAGGATCACAAAAAGCTTTCCATAAATATTCTTTTTATGGCTAATTTATACAATCTAGAAGTCATGAGACATTAAAGAAATGAAAAAAAAATTGATGCATGAGTATAATAGAAGATATGACATCATTATTTTAGAAAATAAACGGTATGCGATTATAAAGAACAAACTGAAAGTTAGAGCTAACCTAAAATAACTATTATCAATATTTTGTTAATAATGATTTTTTTTATTTTGTATAGGTCTAGGACCAAAACTATTAGCTATAATCAATATTTTCTAACTAGATGAGGTTGAGAGGGATGACAAATTCACAAAAACACAACATCAATTTATGTAATTTATTTGAGATAAAAATGAAAAATTTTGAGAATTAAATGTAGACGTCGGTTGAATGCAATTGGATTAAAACCAGTGAAGCCAATGCTAATGATGTTATCATAAAACTGTTGATATTAATTTGCATTTTTTTTTTTACTTAATAACGTCCAAGAAATCTTTCTACTTCAGGCCAATTTCAGGAATTTTTTCAGTTCTCCAAATTCAAGTCATTTAAAGATTAGACAGCTTCATGGTTTCAGATAAATCAAATATCCTTCAATCAAATTAATGGAATGAGCACAATAGGTCATTATTGGCTTGGGAGCAAGAGGACCATTTTAGGAGCTAATAGTCCAGGTTACAGCTGTCATGGGTTTAATCTCAGAGCCATTTTCTCAATGTCTTCACCATATCTTTGCCATTCATCCTGCAGAGTTAATAAATCAGTCAGCTCACACATGGTAGCTCAAGGCAGAAGGAGCAGCAGGCTCTGAAATTATACAAAACAAGTTTTTATAACAAAACACGAAATCATTTCAATAACTTTTAATAAAATGCAAATTTTTTATTAAGATATTTGGAAAAAGCATTTTAGGAATACATTTTTGATGTAAAGCAGGGATCAATAACTACTTTGGAAAAGGTTAAAACACTTACCGAACTCTACAGTTCCTGTCTTAGTGTTTTTTCTTCCCTTTTTTTTAATGCAATTAGAAAATAAATTCAAGTTCAATTGAGAGTGGATATTTTATTGCTTTGGCATTGCTGCTAGTTTGCTAGCAGACATGACTACATCACAGAACACATTTTATTTAAATACCACCTCCAGCAAAATTTGGCCTATTGTCACACCCAGTGCAGCTTGATGAACTGACACAAATTGAAGGCTTAAATATGAAGGCAGATGCACATTCCACTAGTCTAATTTATACACTCTACATTATGATAACCTGGGTTTTTTATGCTATTTCCTCTAGATTATGGCTTCACTCTGATGACCTGCAACATGCAGGCAGCCTCAGAGAAGCAAACACAGTATTTTCTCACACAGGTATCTAAGTTTATAGTTCTTGAAAGAAAAAAGACTTTTTAGCTAGACCCCAGGTGTGGAAGGAGCATCTTTTAGATGGAATCATTTGTCCGCTCTCTCATTGGAGAATGATTCTGCTGCTTCACTCTACAGCATAGAAAAACAATCTTTCAATCTTTCATTTCTATTGGTATGTATTTTAGATTTTGTGTTTCAAAAAGATTTATTGAGGAAACAGACATGCAAATTCAAACATCAACAATCAATACAAATTCGTCCTCTTTTTTGAATGAAACATAAAGACAACGCAAAGTCAAAACAAAACTAGGACTTACATTTTATCACACTGAGAATCAAATAATTCAAATAGAATTATCAATATATTGCCGTAGGGTTTGCGAAGTTCTTTTGAATCGCTTTAAATTATTTGCTAATGAAAGCTGTATTCTTTCAAGATGAGAGAGCCTTACCACTTCCTCCAGCAACAGTTTAACCAATAGGATTTTTTCCATAACATAAACACTAGCTTTTTTCCTATGATAACGGCATAAGATAAGAATTGTCGTTGGTATTTATTAAATTGAGAAAGCTGAACAGAAACTCTGAGTACAATCAAAAGTGGGTCCAGCCTCAATTCTATATTAAACATATCTGATAAAGTTATAAATATGCCCGACCAAAATGGGGTTAATTTTGTACACAAAAAATACAAATGTAGAATTGTGGCTTCTTCAATATGGCATTTGTCACATAGCAGGGATGTGTTAGGGAACATTTTATATAACTTCACTTTACAGTAATGAAGCCTATGAATTACTTTAAATTAGTAATGCAATTCCCTTTTTTTAAAAACCAGTTGGAAAATGCTGTGTTTACTTAAGAGCTACATCTCCTAGTGTAACCTTCAGGCCTAGTCCTGGCAAACTTGCTTGTTTTTGACCCAGTTAGTAGGCTGAACAGAAGAAAAGGTGTGGGTAACTGGGAAAACACAGAGTATGAGTTTTAGTCGTATAACTATATAACCTTTTTTTCACCAATTTACCCGTAGCCATTTCCAGCCTTGTGGAAATGTACAATTTTGTCTCTAGTGTCTTTGGACAGCTCTTTGTTCTTGGCCATGTTATTAGTTGGATTCTTACTGATTGACGTGTCTTTATGCAGCTAACAGGTTCATCTAATTTAGGATAATAAATGGAGTGGAGGTGAACATTTTCAAGGCAAACTTAAAGGTGTCAGAATTCTAGCTGATAGAAAGGTCTTCAAATGCTTATTTGCAGCTGTATCATACAAATAAATAGTTTAAAAAAATCATATAATTTAATTTCTGGACTATTTTGTTTTTTAGATTAACTCTCACATGCACCTATGATGGGAATTTCAGACCCCTCCATGATTTCTATGAGATTATAATCAGAATTCTGACTTTTTTCTCAGAATTCTGACTTTAATCTCAGAATGTTGAATCTTAATGTAGATGGGCACCCTGAAGGAAGAGATGTGGAGCACTCAGCTTCACCGACAAAGATGTGAGTTGTTTGAGGTGGCCAGTGACACATTGGTGGAAAATGAATTAGGAATTAGGCAACTTTTTATGTGCCCGAGGAGTCCCTGGTGATGCTATTACATTAATAGAGGAGCAGAAGGTAAAAAAGTCAGAATTCTGACTTTTTCCTATATTAAACTGAAGTAAAATGTAAAAATCAGTTAACTTTTTTTTTTTTTCAGTGGCCCTAATCCACTTCCATATATTAGCCAATGTGTTACAGGTTATAATACTACAGAAAAAATCTTTAAAAAAATTCCGTAAAAATTCAAAAAATATCCACTGGACTTGGTTTTCAAGATTTGAAGACGTTTCGCCACCTCTCCAGGAAACTTTCTCAATTCAAATGTCTGGATCCGCAGTGAGTTTGAGTCTTATATGGACAAGGCCTTGTATTGCTTGGAAACATGCAAATGGTAACCGATGAATGGGTCGTTTAGTTCCATCGTTAGCCTGTAATATCTGAACCTGTCTATGATTCTAGGGGTCGGTCGTTAAAGGGGGGATTGCCATTAAGGGGGGGATTGTCTCCTGTAATACCTGAAACCTGTCTATGATTGTTAAGGGTCGGTCGTTAAGGAGGTATTGTTCACCGGCTGGAGCGGGTAGGTCCCTCGTTCCTCTGTGATGGGGTGGGGGGTTTGGTGATATCTGGAAGGGATCATGTCTATGATTGAATTGTATGTTTTTGGAAGCTGGAATCTGAGTCCACCACCATTGTTTAAAGTTGTTTTTTCTCTCTTAACATAGATGGCTTCCTTCACGCCCCTCTCAAACCACCTATTTTCTTTATCCAGAATATGGACATTCTGGTCCTCAAAAGAATGTCCTTTGTCCACAAGGTGTAGGTGTACTGCGGAGTCTTGTCCAGAGGCGGCCGCTCTTCTGTGTTGGGCCATGTGTCTGTGGAGAGGTTGTTTGGTTTCTCCAATATAAAGATCAGAGCATTCCTCGCTGCACTGAACAGCATATACCACTCCGCTCATATTTGGTCTGGGGGTTTTATCTTTCGGATGCACTAGCCTCTGTTTAAGGGTTTGGTTTGGCTTGAAATGTACTGGGATCTTGTGTTTGGGGCATATTGCACTTTAAACAAATCTGCCATACAGAATATTTAGTTGAAATTTAAGCCTTAGAATAAACTAAAAAGATGCTTCATTAGATAAATGGAGGGGGAAAAACATACAAAGCCCCAATGCAATGAAACTAAGGCATTTTTATTTTATAAAAAGAAGAAAAATAAAATTTCAGACCCCTCCATTATTTCTATGAAGGAGAACTTGCAAAATAGCAGGGTGTTGAAATTATTATTTTCCCCAATGTACACAGCCATGATGTTTATATATTAGCTTTCCCAAAGTGTTCAAATGCACATGAGTATCAGTGTAGAGAAGGTGATATTTGAATTAAATAATACAAAATTAGCAAATACTGATTATTACTTATATGCATATATGCATAAATGAAACAGGAATCATTTTGATCAATCTGGAGGAGTTTACTGATATCGGTTAATGTTTTGCTTCAGATGTATATTGTTGGGATCCTCAGGCTTGCCCACCTGAGGGCGCCGAGGATCCCCTTCTGCTCTTTGTTATTTTCCCTTAGGGCTGGAGTTACTGTTAGGATCTGGAGATTACCCTCTGCCTCCAGCAGAGTGCGCCGTGGATCTTTTGGAGCTGGAACCTTCCAGCACACCCGATTTCCATCTACTCATCAGGAGACCTCCACTTTATAAGCTCCTGCCAGACCTTGCTTCCATGCAGCAGTGTTGATCTTAGTTGGTTAGCTTCCTGAGCCTCTGTTACAGATTGAATCTTAGTTGTCTCTAGTGTGAGATCTGATTCTAATCTCTCCTTTGTCTGTGCCTCACAGGAAACCTGTCTCTGGTCTGAAGCTCAGGAAGAGCTGCCTCACTGGAACCCAGTCTCTGGTCTGAAGCTCTGGGAGAGCTGCATCACAGGAAACCAGTCTCAAGCCTGAAGCTCTTGGAGAGCTTAACCTGCTAATCAGCCCTGGTGAGCCAACCTGAAGGTTCCTATGTGGAATCACCCTGTAGAATCCTATGTGGATATTCCCTGTTCTCTGCAATGAGCTGGAAGCTCGGCCTGAGCAATCCTATGTGGATATTCCCTGTTGTTTCTCTGCAGTGAGCTGGAAGCTCAAATCAAGGTTTGCCATGCTAAGCCTGAAGCTAGACGCTTAGCTTCCCATGAACTCTGCTAACCAACAGTCTCCAGTCCCAGTCAAGACTTTAGTGAACCAGCCCTGAACCTGTTCCAGAACTTATTCTATTCCATGTGCTAGTGCTTCAATAAACTCTGTTAAACTTTTCATCAGACTCCGTTGTGTTCTGCATATTGGGCTTTCTCTGAACCCTTCATGACATATATGGATACAGTCCAGAGAAAAAATGTATGACAGATGCATCCAGTGAACCCCTCATTATAGTCAGTAAGGAATGGGCTTAGGCAGCGGCGGTTCTAGATCAAATGTACCAGGGGGCCAGGAGGGGGCCAGCATGTTTCCATGGGGACACAGAAAAGCATGAAATAAAAAACAGGGCAAGGGATTCAAACATATTAATATAGCTGAAGTGAAATTTCTATTCAATTAAGTTTAATTAAAATTATATATATTAGGTCAATATACATTCATAATTTAGGAATTGTACATATTTTTGACTTAATTTAAGTAAAAATGACCATTTTCTATAAAATCTGAATTAAAACTCAAGAAAAACTGATAAATTCAGCTCTAAAAAATTGTGTAGTTTTTTTTTTAAATTTGTTTTGAAAAAAACATTTAGCAGATTAAAAACTGGGATCCTATCTCAATATCACTGAAGCTATTACCTTATTGTTTTTAAATAATTAGTCAAACAGAATTTCTAAAGAAGAAAAAATTAAATAGATCCAAAGGAGCTATCAGTAACCATGTCTGTTCCAGTGCATCTCATCATTACAATTTCTTTGACTATTATGTCTTCAGTACAGGGCCATAACAGGGGTCATGACCTGATCTACAGGGGCACTGGCCCCCGTTGGCCCCTGTCTAGAAGCGCCCATGGGCTTAGGTATTTTAAAAATAAGATGAACATGAGAGGATTGTTGTTGGTGCGATATGAAAGGAAGATCAGGAAGGTAAAATATAAAACGCACAATAAAGATTTGCTAAATAAAAAGTGAGCAGAAACAAAAAGTTGACTTATAATGACATGATCTTCGCCATGGTCACCTAAATCCTCTCTATATGTGCCTAATACTTAGTACCAATAATGAATCCTGCAGCCTTACCTGTGGTGTTATTGAATCCCCAGACCACAGGCTCGCTCCAGTCGCTCCAATATTCAGAGTCTCCACAGTCTCTCTTTAATTTGCTCCTCACCTGCAGCTCATATCTGGAGCTGCTGGAGGGCAAGCTTTGGCAATAACTCTGCCTATGAAACACTGACAAAAGCTATGGCAGAAAACAGTTCATGAGATGTCAGATCATTAGAAGGAATATAATGAGAAGGAGAAAACACGCACCTCCCAGTCGTTGTTGTCGATTCTGATTCGTACTTGGCTTTCTACACATGTGAAGCCATTCTGGTTCCAGTAAAAACACAGGTTAGAGTCAGATCCATTCTTTACCGTCACGTTGGTTGGTGGGTTTAATTTCACTAATGACAGCAGGGACATGAAGGGACAGAGAAATGTAATCTATTTATACTTTAAATTATCAAATCAAAACAGGATTCTGGATTTTTAAATATACAAGATTTTTAGAAGAAACTTTTTATTTTTTCATGGAGTTGTTTTACTACATACCTTTCCTTTTAAGTTCATGTTCCTTCTGAAACACCTGACTGCCGTCGCTCAGTTTGGTGTAAAATGTGTCGAATCTCTGGAGTTTGGTGTAGGGACGCCTACATCCAATGTTTATTCCGTTCTCTAACAGATATTCAGCACAGCTACTTTCCTCCTCTCCTTCAAACCTGTGTTAAAATGTTCTGTTATTTAACTTAAACCCATTTCAAATATAAATTTAGATTTTAATAATAAAATTATTTTATAAATGATTAATCTGTGGACTAGAATAGCAAGAAACTATTCTGATACTCAAGATTAAAATAGATTCTTTTTCGTCCGATGCTGTCAGATTTCCAGTTTGACTGATGGTGTTAAAACCTGAATAACATGATTGTATAGTTGCAACAAATCAATACCAGCAATTTACCAGCATTTAACAGCAAATAAAGTCATGTTTATAAATGGTAGCTGTAAAGACAATGGAAAATACATTTTGAAAATATTCCTGTTATATAGATCAATCTTTTGAAATTAATATGGCAATTAATCAGAATTGGAAGCGTTTCTTTTTATACTATCGCACTGCTGTGGTGAGATTTTTCACAAATATTTTCTACCTTGTATTTGTCAAAACTGTAAGCCTTTAGTGTTGTTACAAAAATAAACTCAAGGTTCATGGTAAAAACTACAAATGTGCTTAAAACAACAACATGCTATTGATTAAATCTTACTAAGAAAGCAGCATCGTTGGGTTATGAGCAAAGTCTAAGAGGCGATATTTAACAGCAACAAAGTTAAAAACAAACTGCATCGATCCAACAAACAAAAAGTTCTTTACTCTTCTGGGAAGAGAGGAGGACGTTGTGTTCCTGGAAAAATAAGCTGTACCTCAAAAGATCAATATAGCAATATATAACTAACAAATACTGGAAATTAGTTAGTTAACAAGAAATTAGATAAAACATTAACTTGTGATTGCTTGTATGAATTCCCTTATTATGAATTTATAGATTAATGAAATTTTTTTTTTGCAGTTTTTCAAATATTTCAAATTTGATGTGGCTCCCACTGTTTCCCAGTCGGCTCTGATTAGCTGCTAAGTTGTATTATTCCCACAGTACAATTCCGCCACCACCATGTTTTAAAATGGGGATGATGTGTTTAAGGTGTGGTGAGGCAGACCCTATGTACTGACTGGGTGGCCTCTTAAGGCAATTGGTCGTGTAAGATTTTATTTTGAGGCATCAGACTAAAAAGGACAGAAAACAAACTCATACAGTTGGAAAACTCCTACATTCAGATTTTAAATAAGGTTAAAACAGGACTCAGACTATTTTGCTCATTCCTAAACACGTGTAAAATAACATATTAGTTCTAGATACATACCGGCTCGAAAAAGTGTAATTGATGTCTGGAGTCCCCCACAGGTTCCAGGAACAGAGAACATTTTCCAAGCTAATCACCACACACTGCAGATCTATCACAAAAACAAACAGGAAGGTTTCATGTTGCATATAGACAAAAGTAATGTGTTACAAATATAAACCCGAGGTAAATCCTTATCAGTCCTCTAAAGATACAAGAACAATTTCCCTGTTTTTGTCAGTTTTGCAAAGTATTTTAATTGATTCCCAACAGTTTTACAAATCAGTACATATCAATTCTAAATCCTATGAAGTGTTAATTTTGTAACAACTTGGTAGTGTTGAAAGAAGAACATACATTTGCTGTTAAATTTTGACACTATGCACTGGCGTTGGGTAAATTCAACATTAACCATTGTTGACTGGTGTTAAATTTAAACTATTTAGAGTTGCTGGAAATCTGTCATAGTGTAGTTTTAACCCTATCTAGTGTGGACCAACATAGACACTTTTAAAGTGTTAAATTTAACTCTGTAGGTGTTGAATTAGCGCTGCTGATTTTCCTGTCAAGGCTTTATGACTATTTTTTGTTTACTTTTTAAGGAGGATCTTAAGGGCTCACACTTTCTATCCCAAATTTAACAGAGACAGCACATGCCCTCCCTTCCCTTCTGTGCAAACAACCACCATTGCTGAAAAGGTTTTTTTTTTCTTTCCCACATTATGGAAAAAAATATGAGACCATCTTTGTTTTTTTCTTTTGTTTTCTTTTTTTTGGGGGGGGGATAAAAAATATTAGTAGACAATATAGGATGACTATTAATATGGAAGAAGATTAGGGCCACTGAGAAAACCAAAAAAGTTAAATGATTTTTAAATTTTATTTCAGTTTAGTATGGAAAAAATGTCAGAATTCTGACTTTTTTCTCAGAATTTTGACTTTAATCTCAGAATTCTGACTTTTTTTCTCAATTCTGAGTTTTTTCTCAGAATTCTGACTTTAATCTCAGAATTTTGGATCTTAATGTAGATGGGCACCATGAAGGAAGAGATGTGGGAGCTTCAGCTTCACTGACAAAGATGTGAGTTGTTTGAGAGGGCCAGTGACACATTGGTGGGAAATTAATTAGGAATTAGGCAACTTTTTATCTGCCCGAGGGGTCCCTGGTGATGCTATTTCATTAATAGAGGAGCAGAAGGTCATTAAAACAAGAGAGCTAGTCTCTAAAACAGACATGGCTATGGCTTGATGCTAACATGTTTGTTAGCTGTCAGGATTCTGAGAAAAAAAGTCAGAATTCTGAGATTAAAGTCAGAATTCTGAGAAAAAAGTCAGAATTCTGAGATAAAGTCAGAATTTTGAGATAAAGTCAATTCTGAGAAAAAAGTCAGAATTCTGACTTTTTTCCTATATTAAACTGAAATAAAATTTAAAAATCAGTTAACTTTTTTTTTTTTTCAGTGGCCCTAATCCTCTTCCATATATTAGCCAAACGTATTACAGGTTATAATACTACATAAAAAATCTTTAAAAAAATCTGCCATACAGAATATTTAGTTAAAATGTAAGCCTTAGAATAAACTAAAAAGATGCTTCAGTAGATGAATGGAGGGGGGAAAAAACATACAAAGCCCCAATGCTATGAAACTAAGGCATTTTTATTTTATAAAAAAAGAAAAACTTTTGTAAGGATTGACGCACTGTGAAGAGGTTTCAAAGAGGGCTACCAAAACTACTGACATGGGAAAAAATAAATAATTAAATAAATAAACAGCAAAAAAATCTAAAAGGAATTACGGGTATTTAGCCATAAAGTGTAAAAGTTTCAAACAAACACTTATAAAATAAATGTTACATTTTGCTTAAACTTGTATTTTGGCTCAGATTCTTTAACATTTTATGACCATTACTCCCAATGCTAATCTTATTTTTGCTGCATTCAAGTTCTTTTTAGTATAAACAAATGTATATTTAACAATATAAGTTAGGTAAGTGTAAACTTTTAGAAAACTACATAAAGATTGCATTTTACTCTTGTATGAACATTTTCAAATAAAGGGACATGTGCATTTAATGGGAAAATTGATCCTAAAAAGTAGCTGCGCTGGTGTCTGAGCTGGTGCAGCCTTGTATCCTCTTCCTCTCTCCCAGAGGTAGTGTCCGGAAAAACTCTGCATGTCTTTACCGTTGGCTTTTCAATAAACTATCTTAAATCTGCCCAATCTGTTTCAGTGTGTTCTGGATGTGAGTCAGAAAACTAGGAAACATGAAAAGTTTATTTTCTTTTTCATTTAATCTTTCCTTATTTATATAAGAACTTTTAAAAACCAGACATCTGATCAAACGCCGTCTTCACTTCTAGAAATCCTTGCTTTTATACTGTGAAATTATTTACTGTGAAGGATAAAGGCTAACATTAAGAATACGTTTAACAAATTACAGTTTAATCCGACAATAGTCTTTGAAGAAATCAATTAGCCTGATACTTCAAGAATATCAAACTTGGATTGATTAAGTAATTATTAATGCAATCTTACTACAAAGATTTAGTAGGTAAAATTGTTATTTAAAAGCTCTTACCAGGAGGTTTTTCAGCCACTATTTGCCCAACAAGAGTGAGAAACAGAAATATTTGAGTTTGCATTATCAAAGGTAGAAGCTGTTTTTTTGGAGAGAAGTTTTCCTCACATCAAGAGATGTTAGTAAGAAAGCAGGTGATCCATGGATCGCAAATGCAGATAAAATCAACAGTTCAATCTCTTCCTAGTTGGTATGTGGGATAACCAGAAAGAAGAGTTTTGTAACGTTTGTTAGCCATTGTGCAACTGTGAAGGTCAGTGTTACATAATGCATGTGATTTACAAAAGTTTTTAGAAGTTTTGTAAATCAAGAAGTTTTAAAAGTTTGAGATTAAAATAGATGAAAAAGTGTTTATATCCTTTTTGAGGGATTGTCAAATACACTTCAATGCATGCAACCAGGGTCTGTAACACACAGACATCACTTCCTGGAGCCATCTACTGGTTGCATGCTGAAATGTATACCTTACTTTGTTGGGCTTTGAGGGGAGAACCATTTCTGCTTACTTTTTTTAAATTCAGTTTTATTTGGTGACAAAGAGTAAAATCTAAACTTCTTAAAACAGGCAGATTTGACGGCCATTTTTGGTGTGGCACTGGAACAAACACAATTAATGACTGCTCAAAGGAAAGCAATGGCATTTTCTTCATTGTTAGCCATGAGACTGATCTTATTTAATTGGATAAAGGCGCCAACTCACAAACAATGGGTAGAGGAGGTGATGACACATCTTAGATCGGAACATCTTTTCATATTCATCTTTTCATCATATTTTACAGGGCAATACTAAGAGATATTTCAAGGCAGCCTTTTATTTCCTGTTTTGAATCAGAATTTCCATCTGCTTCAGCATAACTGGCAGCTTTATATATTTTATCCCCCCCCCATAATTATTATCAGTGTGGTTATTATTGTCATTAAAATGTAGGTATTTAGCTTCAACCTGAGAGAGCCTGGAACTGGGGTGGCGTGTGTAGTAGTAGTAGGATCTTTCTTGTTGCTGTTTGTCTGTGTTTTTGACCTGTTTTTGTGATGTAAATGTTGAGCCTTCTATTTTGTTCTGTATGTTTTGAATGGGATGTCTGTTGTTTGAATACGGAAAATCGCTAAAAACACTGATTATTATCAAAATAGGCAGTCAGCACTGCCCCCTTACCCCTGGTCATCTTTGGTAAAAATGTTCGGACTGAAAATCAATATAAATACCCTTGAACTGACCTTGATGACCGAGTGACCTCTAAAGTCAATGTGGACTCAATATTTAAAGCAAAACTTCATAACTTTTCCCTTAAAGGTATAGGGTACCGCCCTCTCCACTTGCGAAAAATGCACCTGCAATTTTTGCACACATGCCCTGTACCTGCTCCCGAGAGGGAACGCCTATAAAACCCGTGTGAGAGCATGCACAAGCCCTTTACTCCTTGTTTTAGCAATGATGTGAAATGGATTTCTCCAAATAGCATAACAAACTTTACCCGTCAAGTAGAAACTTTGCAACCGAGGAATCAGTGGAAATCCCGACCTGTGATTTCAGTGTACGCCATCACATGAAAGAAGCTCCCAAAAACACTCTGGTCTTGTTTCTCTCTTCTGAGGCCTTGTTTTTCTTCTCATACACTTGGTAGACAATTTTTCTCTCATGAACCTCGGGCCATTTTCAAAGAACCGCAGTGAAAAAGGAACTTTAATGACTGTCTGAAACTGTAGCTCACCAAAGATATACACCTGAAAGTGTGCATGGGCAGAAACATATCACCAGAATGATTGACAATTAGGAGAACCACTTATTTTGATGATCCACACAGAAAGAGAACATCCTCCCTTATACCTTAAGTATTAGCTTAATTTTAGATATACATCTATCTTATTCTGCTTATGTGTCAGGGTCATCTCCAGCAGACTATGAGCATAAAGCGAGTATACATCCTGGATAGGTCCCAGTCTGATGCAGAGCAACATAGAGACACAAAACCATGCAAACACACAAACTCTCTCACACTTAAGGACAATTTAGAAACACAAATAAACCTAAGAGCCCCTCTCTCTAACTTAGAAAAATGCACATGCACAACCCTGTACCCGCTCCCAAGAGGGAAGGCCTATTAAACTTGTGCGAGAGCGTGAACATTTCTGATTAGCACGCACTGTTTAAAAGTTTCTTTTTGCATCGCTCATCCAAGCTTACTTTCCAAAAGAAGATTTGCAATTTTTCCACTATGTCAGACTCACCACCGATAAGTGAAAATGTCTAAGTCTGGTCACCTTATTGTAGTTTGCAATTCATTGAAAGTGTTTATCTTAGATTTCTTGTCCACATGTGTTAAAGTTTACTGAAGTGTGACTGGGCTGATAGGACAGCTTGCAGCGGATATCGTAAAACTTCCCTTTTTTTCAAATCCAAAACTTGACAGGTATGAGTCGTTGAATATTAATTGACTAGGGCAGGGGTCTTCAACTTTTTTCCAGGCCAAGGACCCCCAATATATATATCCCACAGATTCTCTATGGGGTTCAGGTCAGGAGAGTTGGCAGAACAATTGAGCACAGATACCATGGTCAGTAAACCATTTAGCAGTGGTTTTGGCACTGTGAGCAGGTGCCCGGTCATGCTGAAAAATGATATCTTCATCTGCATAAAGCTTTTCAGAAGATGGAAGCATGAAGTGCTCCAAAATCTCCTGATAGCTAACTGCATTGACCCTGCCCTTGATAAAACACAGTGGACCAACACCAGCAGCTTACACGGCACCCCAGACCATCACTGACTGTGGGGACTTGACACTGGACTTCTGGCATTTTGGCATTTCCTTCTCCCTAGTCTTCCTCCAGACTCTGGCACCTTGATTTCCAAATGACATGAAAAATTAGCTTTCATCCGAAAAAAAAATTCCTTTGGACCACAGAGAAGCACCACAAGTGCTGCTTCTCTGTAGCCCATCCCTAGGGAATGCGGCATCTGTAGCCCATTTCCTGCACACCCCTTTGCACGGTGGCTCTGGATGTTTCTACTCCAGACTCAGTCCATTGCTTCCGCAGGTCCCCCAAGGTCTGGAATAGGCCCTTCTCCACAATCTTCCTCATGGTCCGGTCACCTCTTCTCGTTGTCCAGCATTTTCTGCCATGCTTTTTCCTTCCCACAGACTTCCCAGAGAGTTGCCTTGATACGTCACTCTGGGAACAGCCTATTGGTTCACAAATATCTCTCTGTGTCATACCCTCTTGCTTGAGGGTATCAATGATGGCCTTCTGGACAACTGTCAGGTCGGCAGTCTTACCCATGATTGGGGTTTTGAGTGATGAACCAGGCTGGGAGTTTTAAAGGCCTCAGGAATCTTTTGCAGGTGTTCAGAGGTAATTTGTTGATTCAGAAAATTAGGTGCAGAGCTCCTTTAGAGACCTTTTTCATGATATGCTAATTTTGTTAGATAGGAATTTTGGGTTTTCATGAGCTGTATGCCAAAAATCATCCGTATTACTAATAAAAGACCTGAAATATTTCAATTAGTGTGCAATGAATCTAAAATATATGAATGTTCATGTTTTATCATTACATTAAGGTAAATAATTTACTTCATCACAATATGCTATTATTTTGAGAAATACCTGTTCACACCTCCTGTTCAGGTACTTTTTGCTTGTGTCTTGTTGTTACTTGGTTCTCCATATGTGTTTTCCCCTGATGTCTCCTGGTTTTTGGTTTTGTGCATTTTGTTTCTGTGGTTTTTTCCCCCCATTAAATCAGCAAACTCATCTCTGTCTCCACATCTCTTCATATGGGTCCTAAACTAACTTCCACCAAACCATACACAATCAGTATCAAATAACTTCAAAAATTCAGTCACAAATCATGTCAAAAGTTGTATTTGGATAAATATCTTCAATGAAAAGTCAGTGGTCTTAAGAGATAATTAAAACATAATGTTCTTATACAGTGCATCAAAAACAGCTACAAGTGCGTAAAGAAATAATACAAAAAAGACGAATATGTTGCAGCCCAAGTTGTAAAACTTGTAAGAAAAAAAATTACATAACTTTAAAATTTAGTAATACAAAATCTTCCAGTGATATCATTTACAAACTAACTCAAATCAAACATTATATTTTTAATAAAGAATAACAGAGGGTACATAGCATGTTTGTGGTATGCATAAAAAAAAGGACTAAAAAAATGCACAAAAAAAATGGAAATCTAAATGAGTCATTTTTGCTTAAATTAAGTGCATTTTTTCTTGAATTGAGGAGGTAATTAAGACACTTTGCCAGTGGAACAAGACAATTTACATTTAAAATAAGAAAAAATGCTTTTTCTTATTTCGAGTGCATATTATCTAATGATCTTGTTTTAGGTGTAAAAATACTAATTCCATTGGCAAATTTATCTAGTCAAATTAAGGGCAAGTACACTCAATTTAAGAATTTTTTTACTTAATTCTTAAAGGTTTTTGCAGGGTGCATTTCAAAGTTGCAGCTATAGAAAAACACTTATGATTAAAATAATAAAAAAAAAAAGCTTTTTTTTTTATAAACATTTCCATTTAAGTTGATTTGACTTGGCGGAAAAAAAGAAATTGTGTGGTTGTCTACTGTGCTTCATCTACCTTTACAGACCCCAATGCTGTTTCATTGAGAATGTCTTTTTGCAAGTAAATATACTCAACTAACCTTGATGTTATTTTACACGGGACATATATTCCCCCCAAAAGCTTTTATGGAGTTTAGAACCCTAAACTATTCTATCTTTTATTAATTGCTTGATTTATTTTTGTTTTTCTACACTCCATTGTCCTCTTGCCATAGTAAATCATGAAATTTATCCAAATTATCCAATTTATCAATTTAAACAAGTTTCAATTTGCCTCGGACTAGATTTACACAGAAACCTTCGGTGCTTCCTCAGAGGCGATTACAGCGGTGTAAAAAGGTGCAGACGTGTTCTCCTGTTCATCCCCTGCGATGGTGATAGAGCAGTCGGTTTGATCGGTGGAGGTGGTAAGGTTGGAGCTGTCAGAGCCGTTGCTGTCGGACCGTGAGACAGGTTGGTACTCGCGCACAGTGCAGGCTCGCTCATTGAAGGTGCTATTAAATCCATCTTTAATAAGGCCTTTGGGGAAACGAAACCAATCCTTGAAAAGGAAAAAAATATTGTCACTTTTCCTTCCTCACTATTTATACAATAATGCATCAAATAGGTCTACAGAGATCAATGTTAAAACTATTGTTTTCATTAGGAATTCATGGTTTGTCTGACAGTGTAAAGTGAAACCTTTTTAAGGATCTCACTAATGTGCAACTAACACTTATCATCACTCAATAAGCTTCTGAAGCTACTAACCTCGACATCAGGAGAGTTCAGTACTGGCTTGGGAAGCGGAGGGATTAGGATGATTTTAACCCTGTGTGGAAATAACACAAAATATCTTCACTAATCACAAGATGTAAAATGTCAAATTGTACAAGGTATTGATATTTTTCCAAACACAAATGCACACTATTTGATTTGCAATTTGAGAATAAAGTGTGACTCATTTAACTTTACTCTAACACACTAAAATGTTTGAGCATAACAAAAATAATGTTAAGAATCTATCCGGTATCAGCCAAAACATTTTTTTTTGGAATAAATGAACCTGCATCTAATATCTCCAATATAAGCTGCCAATGGATATGCAACACTTCTATCCTTTTCCTTTTAATGCTTATGAAACATATTGGCGACTGACAAATGGCTCAGTTTTTCTCATATCTATAGTTGTTTATTGTCCTCTGAGTCACACCACTTGATCTGTCATGATTTTGCATTTTTTGGTTTGGTGTAAGTGTTCTTTTTTAGTTTTCATATGTTTCATTTCCATTTTGTGGTGTTTTTCTGGTTGTATTTGAGTTCTTATGTATTTCTTGTTTATCCTCTGTTGCCCTCTCGTGTCAGTCTTCCTCTCCTAGCTCCCTTCTAGATTCTTCTGTCCACACCTGCTTCCAATCAGTTCATTACCCCAGTCTGTTTGAAATATATACTCCTCCTCTTCAGTTCCTGCTGGTTGCTCGTCGTTTCTTAGCTCCTCTTGTGCGTTTTCCCTGACATCTCCGTTTTTTCTGTTTTGTTTTTTTTACAATTTTTGCTTCAGTTGCCACTAGTGATGGTGAGATGAAGCATCATGAGGCATTGAACCGTTTGGCCAAATTGCTTCAACGATCCCCACAGTTCATGAGGCTCCATATGAACATGTCACCACCTACTGGTGGAGTGCAGAACTACAGTTTGTAATAAAATCTGTGATTTTTTTTTTTTTTTGCAACTGTTTTTCTTTTTTCCCCCTTTTAAGTTCCCTTGAAATTATTAATGGTGGGTGTGTATAATAAAATCTTTTGTAAGTTTTTTTAAGTGTAAAATTTCTTAATTATAATAATAATAATAATAATAATAATTTAAGGTACACCGTTTTTCTGTCATTTTAGTGAAATAAACTCAAGCAGACACAAACATGATAGTTTTTCCACGTTTTTTGGTTTTAATCAGGTTGGAAGTTTTGTTCAACCAATCTTTTGGCTGCACCGACCTAATTTACCCAATCTATATTTTTACTCGGGCAAAACAATGCAAATTAGTCTCATCAGCCAAAATAATTAAGTTTAATCGAAATTTTCAAAAGTTAAAGACAGGTCTTGAACCATCAACATCTAGAGTGGGAGCCTGACTCTTACAGCTGACGCCACCTACGTAGATAGTCTGACACAGTAGAAAATACTTCTTAACACTGACGTTAACGCAGGCTTTGTCCGGTGGTTTGCTCAAATTTTGATCATTACATTGTTTATTCTAATCAAATTAGCAACTAGATTGGTTGTTTTTCCAACCAATCTATTCTTAGAATCTATCCAAACTCTATCCAGCTGAGAGGATCTCTCCTCCAAACTCCCACATCTTGACTGAACACTGAGGCTGTTTAGATGCCTGTCAAATTTCTTGCGCTCTCTGAACCGCTTCATGAAGTGGTCACGAGGCCTCGGACGTCACCAATTTTGGCCCCTACTCTAAATGAATCAAGCCTCGACACGCGCTTCGGGGAAACGCCCCCTCCATCACTCGACACACGCCTCGGCTCATCTCATAACATCACTAGTTGCCCCCCTTTGGAATATTAAATCTGGAAGAAACCACTTTCATCTCTGCATTTGGGTCCTCTTCAGGCCTTCACACAACCCGACATGATCAAGCTTCCTCTAAAATTCCAAACTACAAAATAAGTTTTACCTAAACTACATATATACCTTAACAGAAATGTAAAAGTTATATTGAGAACTCCAAAAAAGAACTGCCTGTCATACTTTATCTCTGTTTTCCCATTAGGGGATTAGAGAAAAAAAGGTAGCACAAAACAAGTAAAAGTTTTTCCTTACTCCAAAAACATAAAGGTTCATGAATTAGAATAAAAAAGCAGCATCTTTTTTCATTGAAATTTAGACAAACTGAGTGTGTTTCACCTAATTAGTCATCGTTTTCATGGACATGTGGGAAAATGAGGCTTTTAAACATAGAATTTATACTTTGTTGGAGTTTTTTTGTTTTTTTGGCAGTAATGTTTTTTACATTACTGTTCTCTATGTTTGCTCTTTTTATTTAATTTTTTTAGAGATATTAATAGCAATGTTTAATCAACTATTCTATAATACATTGATGATAGGCTCTTTTAAGTAGTAGGGTTGGTTTATTTTTCTTATTTTTCAAGTTTTCACCCAAAGAAGCAATGTGTTGAAGATGTTACCTTAAAATACATCCTTTGGCTTTCCTCCATTTGTTTTAAATATTGTGAATTGCTCAGAATACTAAAGCCATAATATTATCATATTGGCTTTCTCAGATTTCTCAGTTCCTCATTAATCTCAGAAGATCGAAGATAATAAATGTGATTAAGTTAATGATATGATCATCATTCATTCAATGAGCAAGCAGGAATATTTTTGTTAAACCTCATAGACCCAAAAAAGGAATAGTTTAGAACGATGATATATTTACTGTCAGAAAGTGGTGCACAAAAAGTTATGTGTATTATTGCCTGCAAATATCTGACTTCAGGTATACAGAAATACAGAATATATACAACAGATGATTCCAATAAAGCTGCCCTTATATCCAGCATAGAAATCGACTTTGAAAATTGGAAAAAAGGAGAAAACTTTGGAGAATTGCTGAAGGGGAGGTTTGAAAAGAATGTTCTTGTTCAGGAAAGAATACTGAGGTAAGAATAAAAGGGATGAATGATGATAAAATGAAAATAGAAGAGGGGGAAAAGAATAATGAATCCTGACATGACCTACCGTTCATTGTGCAGTAAGATCATGACCAGAAGAATGAGGGTGGTGGCACCCACAGCATACAGCACTGCTGTCCACACTGATATTCCATTATTTCTTATATTTGTGTCTGGGGAAATTTTTAATACTCTGTTAACTCATTTTTTTTCTGCATGCACATAATGCTTAGAATGAAATAAATCCTGCAGCTTTACCTGTGGTGTTATTGAATCCCCAGACCACAGGCTCGCTCCAGTCGCTCCAATATTCAGACTTTCCACAGCTTTCCTCTATTCTGCTCCTCACCTGCAGCTCATATCTGGAGCTGCTGGAGGGCAAGTTTTGGCAATAACTCTGCTTATGAAACACTGACAAAATCTATGGCAGAAAACAGTTCATGAGATGTCGGATCATTAGAAGGAATATAATGAGAAGGAGAAAACAAGCACCTCCCAGTCGTTGTTGTTGATTCTGATTCGTACTTCACTGTCGACACATTTGGGGACAGTATGGTTCCAGTAAAACCACAGGTTAAAATCAGATCCATTCTTTACCGTCACGTTGGTTGGTGGGTTTAATTTCACTAATGACAGCAGGGACATGAAGGGACAGAGAAATGTAATGTATTTATACTTTAAATTATCAAATCAAAACAGGATTCTGGATTTTTAAATATGTAAGTTCTTTAGATGAAACTTTCTTTTTTTTCCCATGGAGTTGTTCTACTACATACCTTTAGTTTTAAGCTCAAGTTCCTTCTGAAACACCTGACTGCCGTCGCTCAGTTTGGTGTAAAATGTGTCGAATCTCTGGAGTTTGGTGTAGGGACGCCTACATCCAATGTTTATTCCGTTCTCTAACAGATATTCAGCACAGCTACTTTCCTCCTCTCCTTCAAACCTGTGTAAAAATGTTCTGTTACTGAACTTTTTCTCATTCCCAATACAGTGACTCATCTAAACATTTGAAAGGTTATATTTTGGATCTAATTTGTTCTACTGGTGTTACTCCCCCGAGCCCTTCGATTATAGACATCAAGCTATCATCACTTATATCAGGCAATATTAATCTCCTCAGGAGAGCATAAAAAGTCCTGAAAACAAACTCATACAATTAAGAGAAAAGCAAAAATGCTTCTCACTATTTTTAAACAGCTCTTACATTCTTAAACAGAGTCATTAAATGATCCCAAATGTGTTTGTTATTTCTTTAACAGGTGATAACTAGATTATTATTACTTGATACATACCTGCTGGAAAAGGTGTAATTGATGTTTGGAGTCCCCTGCAGTTTCCAGGAACAGTGAACATTTTCCAGGTTAATCACTAGACAGTCCACATCTATCATAAAAACAAAGATTCAAATGTTTGATTGAACAGTGTCATGATGCATATACAGAAAAATATGTACATATGTATAAAAATCCATGACTATGTGCATTCCTTGAATAATTATATGTGAAGATTCTCAGTCATCCAGGTCACCCAAGCTTGATAAATTCAGTTTAGGCAACTGGTCGTGAAGTTTTCTAGAAGACATTTCGCCTCTCATCCAAGAGGCTTCTTCGGTTCTAACTAGTGGTGGGGAGCGCTGAGATTAATATATTCTAGGTGTAACAAAGAATTAAGGGAAACAAGCTTAGGCTCTGATCCCTCACAGTTGATTGCCAAAGAGGTCACATGGGGGGTGTTAATGATCCTAAGGGGTTCTGATGGGTCTTTAACTCTCTCGTAAGGTGAGGGCATCTGAGAGGTGAATCTTCTGGGCTTTGATCCTAAATGTGCTTTGTAAGTAGGTGAAAAGCTTGTGTCTAACACCTCCTCTGTTGAGGGATGTTTTTTCCAGGTTAACAAAGATGGCTATCTTAAACCCTTGCGCAAACCATCTTACTTCCTTTGCCAGAATATGGATGTTGTTGTCCTCAAACGAGTGTACTTTTCCTTCAGGTGTCTGTGAACCGCTGAGTCCTGTCAGTAGGATTTGACGCTCATGTGCTGAGCTGTGTCCCTGTGTAGTGGTTGCTTGGTCTCTCCAATGTTAAGGTCTGTGCATTCTTCACTATGCTGAACGGTATAAACCATGTTATTGGCCTTGTTTCTGGGTGTCTTATCTTTGGGGTGAACCAGTTTTTGTCTCAGGGTGTTGCCGGGTTTGAAGTGCACAGGGATCCGGTGCTGGTTGAAAATCCTCCTGAGTTTTTCAGAGACTCCAGCAACATAGGGAATGATGATGTTCCTTCTTCTGTTTTCTTCCCTTTCAGGAGACTTTGGAAAAGCCCATCTGGGATAACCACAGTTCTTAAGGGCTGTCCTGATTTGTTTCTGTTCTCTCATCTTCCCTCTCTTACTGGTGGGAATGGTTTTTGCTTGTGTCTGAAGGGTTCTGATGACTCCTTTTGTGTTCTAGTGGGTGGCGTGAGTCACAAACGAGGTACTGGTCAGTGTGTGTGGGTTTCCTGTAGACTTCTGTGTTGAGTTGTCTGTCTGCCATGATGTGAACCGATCAGTCCAGGAAGGCAAGGCTGTCATCTTTAACATCTTCCCGGGTGAAATTGATGTTTCGTTCCACTGCGTTTATGTGATCTGTGAACGTGTTGATATCCTTGGTCTTTATTTTGATCCATGTGTCATTCACACAACAAAACCAGTGACTGGGTTTTGTTCCCATGTGTGAGTGTAGAGCTTGGCTTTCCACTTCTTCCATCTATAAGTTCGCCACTACGGAAGACACAGGAGAGAGCATCATGCATCCATGCTTCTGCCGTAGAAAACTTAGTTGAATTAGAAGTATGTGGGGGTGAGACACAAGTCCAGAAGAGGGTAGGTGTGATCAGTGGTCAGGTTGGTCCATTCTGGCAGAGTATGGTCTTGAAGTGAACACATAATTGGAGACCCAGGTCTTATCCGTGTCCAGTTGGCTGATGTTTCTGTCCAACACTGGAGGTCCTTTATCCTCTTGGAGAAGTCCTGTGAGTTATAAAGGTCATGTGGTGTGTTGCCAACCAAAGGACCAAGGATGGAAGCGAGATGTTTGGCAATGTTGTAAGTGACTGAGAGGAGCTCCTTCCTTGTATATCTTTGGGAGGCCATAGATCCGGGGAATGGCTTAATCTGGGTACAGTAGTATTGTTGCCTGTCAATGGCTTTGTCCGTTTCTAACTGCTGAAGGCAGGTGATGACCTTCTTCTTGCAGCTGCTGGTGCAACCTTTAGTCTTTCAGAGGTGGCTGTATCACTGAAGAAGGCTTTAACTTTGGCGTGGTAGTCAGCTGTGTTAAATACAACTGTGCATCTTCCTTTGTCCACTCATAGTATTATGACATCCTTGTCTCTTTGGAGGGCTCCCCAACACTAGTTAGAACTGATGAAGCCTTTTGGCGAAACTTCTTTACGTCCAGTTGCCTGAACTGAATTTGTCCAGCTTGTCCTTACATATTTTATTTTCCTTAAATTTCTATTTGCTTTATAATCTGTAAACCTTGTAGCAAAACTATGTATTAATTTAAATAGGTATGTATGCTTTATTACAGTTGCTTTTGACTGCTTTTTAAAGAGGATCTTTCTACCCTGTTTAATAGACATCTCTCCTGTTGTGCCGAAAACAAGCTGCTGCCAAAGCAGTTTTTGGTGTCCTATTTTCACCATGATCAGGATCTTTCTCTAATTTATTTTTGTGAATTTGTTAACATCGAAGTCAGGTGTGACATTTTTAGGTGTGTAACTGGCATAGCAGCAACTGTTTTTCGGCAAAATATAGACAATTTGGCATTTCAACAGCTGAGGGAAAAGGGCAAAAAACAACAAGTATTTAGTGAAATTTATGTGTTTAAATACATTAAATCCAAAGTAATTATATTTGCATGTATCTGTTCTATATCATTGTTTTGTATTCACTTCTTGATATTCATAGGATGAGTACTTTATATCCAGATGAAGAGCACACAAAAAATATCTTAAGTCAAACAAGACTAAAATTGTTTGCGTTTTCGTGCAGCTAAAATTTGACTAAAACCTTCAACTATGAAGTGACGTAACTGTAACTAACACTAATAAGCATTTTGTCCAGAAGACTAAGACTAATGCTTCTAAAACGGTCCTGCTCTGAAGCAAAATGAATAAAGCACAATGTTAACAATTATAAACTGACAATGGAAATGAGGCAGATTAACAAATAATAAGATCACAGAACGGTCACACATTTGATAGATTGGTAGGCAAAAGTTTAGTGTTGGAGCCTAATGTTTGGTTTATGTTTGAATATTTTATTCTTTCTAGGTTACTGTTATTTCTCCGATGTAATATAAAATATGAATGTGAAATGTTTTGGTGGTTTAAAGTATGAGTTGACTTAATTATGAAATAATTAATTGTTTTGTTATATTTTTTGTTGGCTGTGCATAATTGATGCTGCTTCTAACCACTGCCCCTTCATTACAGACAGGTCACCGCAGCACCTGTGATATATTAGTGCTGGCTATTGGGGTGAGCTCCTGAATTCAGGCACGCAACTTTACAGTTTTTGACCGCTGCTGAGTGTTTTTTTTTTTTTTTTTTTTGAGTGGCTTCAAAAGAAAGAAATGAACCGATATGATCTGCCTGTTACGTAATACTGCGGAAAGAAAATCTAAGTTTATTTTTTGAAAAAAAAAACATCTCTAAGGAGAGAAGTGTGTTGGAATATATGGTCACTTTAAAATCTTTTAACAGAGCTTGAACCTGTTAGACTTGAATGGATGTGAACCGGGAGCCACGCACATCATTATTGGAAGGATTGCGCTAATAACAGCAAAAGAAAAATCATTCAAAACTGAAAGGCAATTAAAATAAACAATTCCATTTTAATTTATTTAATGGAAAGTTTTTCGTTAAAACTGCACAAGCCATTAAAAAATAAAAAATACAGACATGTTACAGCTTATTCAAACTTGTTCTTCTCATTTTTTGAATAAATATAAATCTAAAAACATGTTTAATGTGAGTGTAAAGTAAAAAGTAGCGTTAGATTGTGTTCCCCGGCAGTACAGACATGAGCAGAAACAAGCGCACATGAACCCGAGGAGAAATGGCGTCAAAGGGGATTTTCTTGTTTTTTTTATTATTTTATTTTCTGTATAGAACAGAAGTTAGGTTGAAAAGTAAATTACTGAAATCTAAAATCATCGATACATGTTTATTGTACTTGATCAATAATGGATTACTAATTTAATAAATAAAAGCTAACAGTAAGAAAACTTTTCAATTTCATCCGCCTGAAGTCTTTCAGGAAATCATGTAGACTGATAGTTTAAGCACATTTAAACTTAACTATTTAAGTCACTGCCAGTAATACAACCATATGAATATGTTTAACTAGATAAAGATGTATTTAAAAGCTCTTACCAGGTGGTTTATCAGTCATTATTTGACCAACGAGAGTGAAAAACAGAAATAACCAAGTCGACATCATGAGGCTTGATGTTTTCAGCGTCTACTTCGCTTCAGCTCTCAATTTCCGTGGTTTTTTTTTTTTTGTGGGGTTTTTTGCTTCCTGTAAGTGACACTTTCAGTACCTGTTACGCTGTAATTGTACTTCCTGAAAACTTGGTTGTGAACTGCAGTATAACATTCCACCAAGTCAATGTTTTGGGAGTCATATATCATGCTTAGAATTAATATCTTATTTAGAAAGGTACAGATCTGTCCTCAGCTTGATTCTCTAACCTCCTGGCAAGTGTGCTGCTATATATTAACACATCCATGTACATCAATATGCAAAGACACCTGAAGTTTCTGGCCTAATCACTCTGAGAGCTCATTCACAACATATACGGAAGGTCCTAAAATTTAAACTAAAGCACTGGAGCTCTCATTTGTTTCAATTACGATCAGAAAGAGTCAACAAGAAGAAAGAAACTGCAATATT